GTCAGACAGTGAGTCCTGAAGTCCATGGTAACCCCTGCTGGCGTCTGCTCCCTGCCCCTCTCAGCAGGCATGGCTGAACACCCGGTGCTCCCAGCGTGGCCCTGCCTTTCTCTGCTGCCGCTGCTTTTTCCAATGGAGGATGGTCACTCACGTGGTTGCTTTCTTACCTTGACTAAAATCATATTGAGGTTAGGCCCCACTCATTGCTGGTGTCCCCAGCCCCTCACAGCATGTCTCATGGGGTGATGGACATAGACTGGCATAGCCTATCATTTCTGAATCAGAAACCAGGGCTCAGGATCTGCCCCAGGGTCTCGGTGCTTCAGGGCTTAACAGGTGGCCTGAGCTCGGCGAGTCCATCCCTGCAGTCGTGGAGGCTTCTGGACCATCACGACGGTTGGAATGGGGCAGCTGGAGGTAACTGGAGCTCAGAGGTCACCATAAATGTTGAGAAATGCAAGAGTGACAGGCAGTAGGGAAGGAAGAGTCACCTTGATTGGAATTCTCTTCCATTCTAAGGTTTTGGCATGGAGATGGGCTCAAATTTCTTTGCTGAGCTTTGATTTTGAGAAACCTCCATGTTTCATCCCGGACTTGTTTTCCCAGTCCATGCTGGTCTCTTGTGTGGATGCAGCTCAGAACAGCCGATCTCACGAAGCAGAGAGGCCTATGGGGAGCACACAGACCCAGCAGAATGTCTTGCACAGGAGTGGCTGGCGGCTCCCTGCAGTGGTTCCCCACCTCCACCCCTTGGAGCCCTGTGACAGCCCCGGTTGTACCAGGTTCTGAGAGCCTTGGCGTCTGTGGGGTCATACCTGGCTGGTCTTCACTGGGCTCGCTCTGCTTTTTGAAGATGATGTGGGCTTTTCTCTAGAGTACGGATACCTGGTTAATGCTCACTCACAGCCATGGGTGGCTTGGGAGGATCACTTATTCCATTGTTTATTCACTGCACAAGCATCTGTCCAGCTACTGGATATACGTGACACTGTGCTGATACTGGAGATGCAGAGATAAAAGATGATTTGTCCTCAGAAAGCTCGCATTGCAGTGAGCAAGTGTTTGAACCAAGAGTCGATGTAGGAGTCATCCCCAAATTGTATAAAATCGTACACATTTTATGAATGTGAGTTCATTTTTCTGGGAATAGGGTCCATAGTTTTCATCCTATTCTCAAGGGGTCTGTGGCCCCAGAGGGGCTGGACTTGCTTTAGTTAAAGAATTAGCATAGTGGTTCCCTTCCCTCTCCCTTCATGGTTCCTTCAAGGAACTGGCTGCCGACCTCCAGCCCTGGTTGCTGGGCACAGAACTCCCTTTATGATGCCCAGAGCACACTGAAGCTCTTCCCGTGTACACACCTCTCTTCTTGGTGCACCCCACATCCTCTGGGCGCCAGGGCCCGGTTCAGCTCTTATATGTCCCCAGTTTCTCTCTGGCCACATGGGGCAGATCTGACATCAGGAGCCATTCTGTGTGTGCAGGCTGTGTGTCTGTAGTGCGGTGGTGGGCAGAGCAGCCATTGGTCATTCTCTTTATTGGAATGGAGAAAGTGTCATGATGTCATCAGGGAGAAGCGTTAATTTTCCTTCTTTCTGAAGCTGTGGCATGTTACTGTCCAGATGCCTTTTCTATTTCTGGAAGCATGAACTTTATTATGCAGAAATTGAGCTTTGCTTAGTAAGCAATATAAGTTCTGCTTTAACTAAATGTCTCTGTGGGTCATTAGGACAGTGAGCAGTCGTGATTGCTACATCCAAAAATGGAAATGCAGGCTGGGCTTGGTGATCAGGAAAGGAGCTGGCCTGAAAACTCCTGGGTACTGCGAGCCAGGAATCCAGGAACAGAGAGACCCCTCAGGTCACACGGTCACTCAGGGCACGTGGGCATTGGATGCAGGCAGCTCCATGCATGCCAGTGACTCCTCCTGGACTCTGACTCAGGCCAGAAACCTGGGGGCTGGAGGGGTAACCCTGGAGAAGCAGAATCCCTCAGCTTGGCCTACACACCGCGCCTATGGCATTGAGGACAGGGAGTGCTATAAGCACAGTGTCTGCTGGGGGAACGGAGGGAGGACCCATGGAAGAAGTGACATCTCAGAGATGTCTGAAATTCAGGGCACAATTTCACCCACACAAGTAGAGGAGGCCACTTCTAGATGGAGACACTCAGGAACGAGCAAACTCTTGTGGAGGGGCCCCCACCTGTGCCCTGTCTCCCCTCCAGCACTGATCTCCCACCCACCCAGCCACCAGCTCTACTGGGGCCTTCCCCGCTGTCCACACACGCCCAACAGTAGAGTGCAGGGAAGATGTGAGTCAGTTGCTAAGTCAACTAAAAATCCTGGGGAAGATGCAGTGTTTCTCGAGATTGATAACAATGGCATGGAAGAGCTGCTGCTGGACCCCTACCCTGAGCAGTGGAGGAGCCACTCCCAGCTGAGGGTGTGTGAGGAGGCTGCCTGGGTCTCAGCAGCCCGGCGGAGGCCTTGGGGCGGCACTGCAGGCATCCTGCAAAGATGCGCAACGTCTTTGTGATGATGGAAGGCGGGTGCAAAGGAAGCACTCCATACTGTGCTGTCACACACGTTTGTCAGAAAAGTACAGGAAAAAGCAGCCAAAACTTGATTCTTTTCTTTTTCTTTTTTTAACCTGAAATTTTTTTTTTTTTTTTGAGATGGTGTCTTGCTGTGTCTCCCAGGCTGACGTACAGTGGCGCTATCTCAACTCCCTGCAACCTCTGCCTCCCAGGTTCAAGTGATTCTCCTGAAGTAGCTGGGACTACACGCGCGTGCCACCACGCCCGGCTAATTTTTTGTATTTTTAGTAGAGACAGGTTTTCACTATGTTGGTCAGGCTGATCTCAAACTATTGACCTTGTGATCTGTCCGCCTCGACCTCCCAAAGTGCTGGGATTACAGGCGTGAGCCACTGCACCCAGCCGGTAACCTGAATTTTACTAAGTACAACCTCTAATAAACGTGTTTTCATAATGTTTTTAGATTTCATTTTTCAGGGCAAAGCCCCAGTCACATCTTATTTGCCATGACACTTTGGCCCCACTTCTGAGAGGATTAGAGCAGCCTTTTTGGAAGCAGTTCTCCCAGATGGTGAAGCGTCTTTTCCCTTCTTTTCTACTGCCAGATGTTTATCCACGGTGGACAGGTGGGAAGGCCCTGATGTCGAGCTGATGGCTTGATGGGTGGGAGACCGGGGCTAGAGATGGGGACAGCTGCCTCTTCAGTGACCTGTCAATAACCGCTGAAGGCAGCAGGGTCCTTGGCCAGGCTGCCTGGGTCTGTTGCACCTTTTTTGGGGCTGGTTGCTCTCTCCACCGCTTGCAGGCTGTGTGTGCAGCTGTTGGCAGGCAGCCCAGGGCACCCAGCCTCGTGCTTCCAGGTGGGGAAGTTGCTTTACAAACAGCAGGCTGCCCAGGCAAGGAGGAGGCAGAGAGTGGTCAGACAGCCCGTGCTCAGCTCCGGACTCTCAGAGAGCACCACTCAGAGCTCCTGTGGCTGCTCCAGCTGTTGTGAGGTTGCTCGGCGGCCACCATGCCTTCCGCAGCCAGTGAGCAGAGGTGTGTGTGTGCCCGAGCCACTCCACGTTCCTGCGCTGAGCAGCATCAGGTTCACAGCAGCAGCTAAGAGAATACTTGAATGAAACATGACAGACAACGTTAGAATGAATGAGGGGGTAGACGAATGTTTGAATGAATGAGCACATTCTCCTTCCACCTCACTGGTTTTGCCTGTACTTTTCCTCCATCCCCTCCCTTTCCCTCAGTCACTTGCTGTTCTGCAGGTGCTGGGTTTTGACATGGGAAGAAATTAACACCGAAAGCAAGCCTGTCCTGTTTACAAAGGGAGTTAGTGCTCACAGCGCAGCTAATGCCATTGCTCTTGAGAAAATTCACAAATACATTTGCACACCACCCCCGCCACCATCCAGCTGCTGTGCTGTTGACCTGTGTTACCCATGAGTTCAGCGGAACCTGGGAGAAGACTGGCCCACGCCTCTCTCCTGCCAGACTTGGGCTGCAGTGAGGAGCTGGTGGATTCACTTCCCAAAGCCCAGTCTCCCAGCCTCCTGGCCCCAGAGGTGGAGGACAGTAGAGGAAGAGCAGCAGTAGCAGGGCTGTCTGAGGTCTTGCTTCCTGGGGAGCAGAGATGGCTTCGGGAAAAAGGCCCCAAACTGAGTTGACCCTGGCCATGAAGTGGGTGCAGGAAGAGGTGGCCAAAGACTGGAAGAGGTGTGCTGAAATTCAGTCCTGACCTGCAGCCCCTCCCCCACAGGCCTCGCCTCCAGATCCCCACACCTGCAGCCCCTGTGGTGTCTGTGTGCCCCACCCCTACAGGCCTCCCCTCCAGATCCCCACACCTGCAGCCCCTATGGTGCCTGTGTGCCCTTCCCTTACAGGCCTACCCTTCAGATCCCCACACCTAAGGGGCCCTGGCTGTGAGCAGGGCACAGAGGGAAAGAAGCCCAGTGCAGTGGCCGAGTTTGTGCTCAGTGTCCCTGGCTGCATGCATTGCCTCAGGCACCCTCCCACAGAGCCCATGAAGCTGGAGAGCATCATTTTCATTTTACTGATGAAGGCCCTGAGACTCAGAGCAGGGGAACTTGCTCAAGATCAGACCAGATAGAGAAGATCAAGAATTTGAACCCAGTTTTTGGAAACAAATGCTTGGTGCCACAAAGAAGAATCAGCACTGAAACAAAGGATGTCTCAGCAAGGCAATTTTACTTTCTGCAGAAAGGGTACTACTTGCCAGCAGTCTTGCCACAAGAGTACAATGAACAAAGGAAAAGCAGGCATATTTATTCCTTATGCACTGGGTCCTTACTGCTATGTCTGATCTCCATTGGTTGGAGCCAGACCTCCTGACAATGTAAACTGAACCCAGTTGGCTAACAACTTAAAACTTTTCCAAATAAGTAAAGGCAATGAAGAACAAAGGAAAAGAGGAACTTGCTTGAGAAAGAACTTAGAAAAGTAATAACATTTCCAAATAATGAAGAGTCATAGTCTGCGAGCTAGGACATGCCTGTGAGCATGTCCAGCACAAATATCTTGGTTAAAGTACAAGGACATAGAATGTACTTCTTTCCTTATGTCTTGCAGCTACATAGGATAGAGCTTAACAAAGAATTATTGGCAAAAAGCAAGAAGGCTTTGAAGAAAGTTAGCCTTTGAAAGAAACTATTATTTCTAACATTTATTGTTATTCTTTAACAAGAAGGGAAACTTTGAAGAGGGACTTTTTACTTTCCACACCAATTCTATCTGTCTCAATGTGCAAATGCTTTTTACCAGGCCTCACTGCCTCCCAGTTCTGTGGGGGACCCAGGCCTGCTGTTACGGATGAAACAAGAGGCATATGGCTTGGCCTGTGCCTCAAGCATTGCCAGTCTTACCAGCTTTATAAACCATGCGTCAAGTGGTGTCTTCACAAGGGCAGCCCTGAGGCGCTGGGGTCGAGCGGGCTTGCAGCAAAAGACAGCACCTTCCCCATGCAGCTCCTGGACACCCTTCCAACTTGGTAGGGCTTTTCGTTAGAGGTTCCCAGAGGGAGTTGCCAAGGGCTGGGCTGGCTGCACAAGACTCCCCCAAAGAGCTTAAACAGGGGACTTCCCACCCCATCACCTTCCAGGCAATCTTACCTAGGTCAGGAGCGGAGCCAAAATCGCATATTGTGTCAGCACTTGCACAGCTGTGGTGAGCTGCCTGGAAATTTCTGCTTTTCATCCTCTTGGGTCTCCATGTGGACCTGCCATGATGATGATGCCATTTGAAAGCATTGAATCTGAAGCTCAGAGAAGGAAGAGACTTGGCGAGGCACCTCTGCCTGCCAGAGCCACAGAGCTGAGTTCCGGGCACTGCCCCATCTGTAGGGCTGCGTGGGATTCTCAATGGAAGATCTGGAGAGCCTGGGCCTGCTCACCTGATTACCGAGGAAAACAAACATTTAGCTGCTGCCTGTTTACTTCCCATACCTATTTGGGTTTGATAGTCTCAGATGCAGAGTCTTTGGGCCTGTTTTGTTTATTTATCTGTCTTTTGATCTGCAGCCCAGCTCTGGGTTACAAGGAAACCAGGTAGGCCCAATTAGCTTTCAGGGATGTTTGCAGAGGAGGCAGCATCTCCTGCCTCTCAGAGATGTGAACAAATAATGGTTTAATAATTGACACGTCTGTGCCTTAGGAGACCATGCCAGCTTCGAATGAAGATGATTGATCAGAAGGGAAGGAACCAGAAAGCCCATGCCAAGCTCGGGACCCCATCGGCCCTCGCTCCCAGCCAGGAAGGGGGTAGCCAGGCTGGGGTGATTTTAGGGGGCATGAACAGGCCAGTGTGCTTCCCGGGCAGGTCCTAGGGAGACCAGCACTGGCCTCTGTGCTCGCTTGACACCCTCTTTGCTGAGCTCTTTTGAGAACCTGCCACTGCCAAGTCCTCGGACACTGCTGAGGATAGCTATGAGCAAGGCTTCTGTGAGATTTGACCACAAGAAAGAAAGCAGAGAGGAGAGGATGAGAGCCACATTTACTAGGATGTTACCCATGCAGGTGTGATGCTGAGCGTAGTTACACCCCTGCTATTCTTACCAGCTCAGAGATGTTAAGCTTCTTCCCTGGAGCCACACAGCTAGAAGTGGAGGAGCCAGGATTTGAATCTAGGTGGTTGATGGGCTGCCCTTACTGAGGACATCCTGTGTGCTGGGCCCTGTGCTGAGTGCCCTAGGTGTCACCTCCCTGACCCCAGGGCACAGGTATGGACACCAAGGGCTTGGCCAGTGCCAGGCTTCCAGGGCTGGCGAGTGGCAGAGTGAGGCCTGCCCCAGCATGGGCTCTTGCCTCTTTCCTGTACTAAAAGTGTCACTCATGGTAGCGTCTGTGAGCTGAGGCTCCCAGGAACTAGCCAGCCCTGTCGATTCTGACGCAAAGAGAATGAGCTGACTTCAATTCTGATGTTCCAGAGTCACATAGAGGGTGGAAAACATTCCCGAGGAGGAACTCGACCTGCAGAGGTTTCTGAACCCAGAAAGTCTCGCAAACCCCTCCCAGGGTCCGATAATCAGAGAGTGATGAGTTTTCTCCTGTAGAACGTTGAAGACAAAACATGGTCAGATGTGTTCATTGTCCTGGCTTTATTGTTTTGTTTGGATGACCCTTTGAGTGAGACCATTTGCCTTGAGAATTAAAACAAAATTAAACAATAAATAATATTTTTGTATAATGTAGTATTATATACATATGGTATATGCATGTATGTGATAACCACACATAGGTAGTAAATATAAAATATTAAATGCTTGTTTATTTGTTTGTAATTAGAAAGCCCAAAACTGAAATAAGATCCCTTTGCATCCTCTGTATAGATGCCCCACCTTGGCCCTCAGGCCCTTGTTCATCAAGGGGTCCCTGCCGCAGCTCTACCCTGGGTGCGCAGAGTGAGCATGGGATGCTCTCATTGTTCCACTGCCCCCCGGCTGCCCCGACCCCGCCCCTTCCCATCACTGGCCTAGGAATTGGAGGCATTGCCTCCTGATGCAAAGGCCTCCTGTTTTTTGGAGCTTAGGCCTGCATCCCACCCTGCAGGAGGTGGTGGCTGAAGCCCTGGGTTGCTCCCTGCGTAGCCCTTGCATTGATTACTTCCTTCTTTTGTTCATTCCTTCAGCAAGCATTTCCTGAATACCTGCCTTGTGCTAGGTGCAGGTGATCCAGGATGAACAGAGTTCTGTCCCTTTCTTCCCAGTCCCTTCCACCTGTGCGGCAGATTCTCTTTGGTGAATAAGATAGGGGAGTCACAGGTTCTATGGGCACAGGGATAGAGTTTCTGGCTGTTTCCTAAAAAGGAGAAGAGATTTGGAAAACACTTCTGATCGCTTGGCCTCCCCTCCTCCTTTTCTCATGAGGGCCCAGACTGCAAACGGGAAACTGGTTGTCGTGTCTCCAGAAGGGCAGGCGTCCTGCACATTGCGCCTGCCACAGGCCTGTGCTACAGGAGCCGAGCTTGGGAAAGCTGGCCAGAACCGTCTGGAGCAGGGAAAGCCTGGTTGACAGAGGCCTTTCCAGAATTCAGCATGGAGCGTCCCTGTGCTGACAAGACAGGAGTGGCTTAATGCCAGGCACCAGTGTCACCATGCAACACTTCATGGGAAGCCTAGACTCACTGTTACGGGAAGGAAGAGCCCAAGAACCTTTGTAATGATGAACAACAGCTTATGGCCTGGTCAGCAGCTGACCCAGATGCTCAGAAGGGGAGCAGGCAAGAACTCAAGATGCCAGCTTGCTCTGCCTACCTCCGAGAGACTGCAGTTCCCTCTCCCCAAGGGCTGCCCATATTTTGAAAGATGATATCCCACCATGTTCAATAAAGGATGATGAACTTATCTTTTCATGTCATCAATCAGAAACATACATCTGTCAACCAGAGCTCCTGGCTAGCCCAAGGTAACTGGTGTAACCTCATGGAATGGAGATCATTCCAGCCCAGAGGGAGAAAATGGAATGTTTTCTTTGGTTTGTGCTGCCCAATGGAAGATAAACATATGATTTCCAACTGACTGTCTGAAATATTGAGATCATTACCACTAATACTATTACTGCCTTTGGGAGCCCAAGTAGAAATAATCAGTCTTACTCTTCTCTGTCATTTTATACATTTTGAAACTGTCCACAAGAAGGAAGTCCATTAGTGGCAGAACCAGGACCAGGGAGGAGAACAGATCCTGTCAGAGCACCCACTGTGTGACTTACACTCTGTGAGGAGCCTCCCGTCCCGTGGGGGAGGTGGGTGTCAACCCATGAGTTCATGATCCAGTACCAGAAATAAAATGGGCACACACCAGGGCTCAGGAGTGTGGAAGAGGGAGAGGTTAGATCTCAGAGACCGTATTAGTCCATTTTCATGCTGTTGATAAAGACATTCCTGAGATTGGGCATGTCTTTAAAAAACAAAGAGGTTGAGTTGGACTTACAGTTCCACGTGGCTGGGGAGGCCCCACAATCATAGTGGGAGGCAAGGAAGGGCAAGTCATGTCTTAACGTGGATGGCGGCAAGCAAAGAAAGAGCTTTGCAGGAAAACTCCCCCTTTATAATCATCAGATCTTGTGAGGCTTATCATGAGAACAGCACAGGAAAGACCTGCCCCCATGATTCAATTACCTGCCATGGGGTCTCTCCCACAACACATGGGAATTCAGGATGAGATTTGGGTGAGAACACAGCCAAACCGTATCCGAGACATCCTCCATTCCCCGGCAGACCTTCCAGGAGTGTCTGTGGGTGCACAGCCCACCCATTCACCAAATCCAGTGTCCTCCTCCACCTGCCCCTCACAGGGCCCACCCAGGTCCCTCAGGGAGACTGTGTGCAACTGGATTACTTTGGAAATCTGCGGGTGCCCGCTCAGACACCTCTAAAATGTTAATAACAAAAGTACTGTCTGCAGCCATACATACGCTCCAAAGATCTTCAGATATAAACATTTGCCCTGAGTCCATGGGACATCCTTCCCAGCTCATTTCCCTTTTGAACGTTGGGTATGGTTTTCCGGCACTTTGCAAGATTCCCAGGCCATGTTCTTGTGTCAGTGGTACCCCTCTTGCTCTGCCTCCTCTGGAGACCAGAGCTCGGGGACCTGCTCTGATGGATGATTTGACCGTTCATCCTGTTTGAAATGGGTCCCAGGTGGAAAGCAGGCCCGGTCCCATGCCTTCCCGGACACACCACGGTCCAACCACCATCCTGCTCTCACTCCCACACAGCTCCTGGAGTCAAGGTGGAGGAGCAGTTGATGGCATCTGTGCTCGGCATCTATCTTCTGCGTTGCTCTGGGCCTGAGCTCCTGAATTCTGGTTGAAAGTAGCTTGGTGACACGGGGAGAGCGTGTGCTCTGGAATGACACTGGTTTGAATCTGGTCAAGTTCAAGAAAGTGTGCTGTTCCCTGACCCTGACATAGATGCTTTCCCCGGCTCCCACAGTACTTTGTTCATGCCTCCCCGCAGAGGTTCATACTGCTCTCTCTGATCACATTGGTATACAGGAGTTCCTCTGTTCACTGACAGGTTAGGCTCTGACAGTAACAGTGTATAAGGAACCCATGACATCAGTGGTGTCTTGGGAGCTGAGCCGATGTGCATTTCCTCTCTTTTAGACAGGGTTCTTGTGAGCACGGAGAATGTCTCACTCATCTTGGTCCTCCCGTATCTGGAACGCTTCTTGGCATGTGGTAGGACTTCATTCAGTGATCGTTGGAGAGGCGGATGGGGGCTGGATAGGTGGGAAGATGAGTTGATGGCTAGATGGGTCAGTGGTTGGATGGCTCGGTACGTAATTAGGTGGAGGGATGAAGAGTGGATTAGTAGACAGTTGGATGGTGAAAGGACAAAGGTGTGGACAGCTGATGAGTGGGTAGGTGGCCATAGACATTTGTAGATGGATAGATGGATGATTTGATTGTTCAACTCACTGACATAGAAAAAAGTTTTCCTTCTGTGACTTATATCCCTACAAATGGCTTATTATATGGCCTAGTGGTTTTCAGCTGCATCGGCATGTATATTAGTGTTTCACTCTTCCTTTAACACTTATGATGACTTCTGATTACAGTGTTGTCACAGGTAGCCAGTTTCTCCCAGGACAAGGCAGTGCTGGGATTGCATTGGCAAGGGAGCCACGGAGAGCCCCTGCCCTATGAGGGGCACTGGCACTTTGGGCTATCTGGAAAGAACACTGAACTTTGGGAGTCAGCAGCCCTGGTTTCTAGTGTTGGCTCTGCCCCTGCTTATCATGAGAAGCAGCCATCTGAAGGATTGAGCACTGAGTGATGTCATGCACGTAAAATAATTACCACTGTGATCAGCCCATGGTAGACATTCAAAACTTCTAATTTCAACCTCATTCTTCCGAGCCTCTTCTCAGTCCCTTATACCCGTTTGTAATATGTATGAGGTGAAAATACATATGCCAGAGCAACGTCACGATGGTCTGTTCCCCGGGGAGGACTGAGAAGGGGCTCAGAGCTCCAAGCAGCTGGGCAGAGACACAGGGTTGGGCTTAAGTGTTATTAGGAGCTAACACAGGAATTGAGAGGCAGAGCAAAGAGCCCCCGGGAGGTCTGTTCACTGGTGGGCAAGGAGGATGAAAGCTTTCAGGTCCTCAGACCTTTCCAGGCCCTCTCTTGGATAGGAGCAGCCTCAGGCCTCCTCCAGGTCCGCAGTCGCAGGTGCTGAGCCAGGTTGAAGTGAGGTTTGCTCCAGAGCTGGCTCTGTGGGCAGACAGACTCCACTGTGGGGAAGCGGCTTCACCTCCTGACATCTCCCCCTCTGTAAAATGAGCACATGAATGTCCAGAATTCAAGAATTTAGTGAGGCAGAGGGCAGAGAGCACTGAGCAGACTTCCTAGTGTGGACATGCTTAGAAACGTTCACGCTCATGACGGTATTATCACAATGGTGTTCACACACCATATGGCGCAGTCTTGAATATTACACCAAATGCTCTAATATGGAACCTGAAATATCTGATCTGTGTAATAGTGTAATATAATACATTTACATTATGAAATTATAGTTACTCTGTAGTTTCCTTAAGGCATTCTTGTGGCTAGAATGAGGTACATAATGAAAATGCAGAGCCAGAAGGAGAGGAGAGGGAGCAGCTACCGTATTCTGCTATTAATGCTATTACCTATTAACCAAAGCCCACGCTGCTTTGGTATGTGGCACGCAGCGGAATTTCCCACAGTGGTGGCCTTGGCCGCTGCTGGCCCTTGAACAGAACACAGGGACAGCCCCAGTGGCAAACAATGGCAGATGCTTGGTGTCAGCAGGGAGCCTCTCCTGGTAGCAACAAAGCAGTGTCTTAATGGCCCAACCTACTTCGTCCATTTCCCATTCACTCTGTTTCTGGCTATGGCCCTCTAACGGGGCTTCTGGAGGTCTCAGGAGAGCTTTTCTCCGGGTATCCTAGACAAAGGCTGGAAGAACGCGATTTGGGAACAGCTTTGCCTGAGGAATGGCTGGTGATTCGTCATTCAGGGTCCGAGGGGACGCAGCACTCTCATTTGAGTCAGGGGCCAGCGGGCACCTCAGGCAAAAAGAGGGGCTGGGAAGTAACCCACATGGAGTATCATGAATGGACCAAGCAAAAGCTTTTCGAGATGATTCCGTCCAACTTCGGATGTCTGCAAAACACTGCATTCTGAACAGATCTGTCTCTAGCCTCATACGGCACGGTCAGGCTAGACAGCACACCTGCTGTGGGCTTTGGGATGTGAAGCAGCAGCATCTAGAGTGGGGGAAGCAAATGCTGAGCCGAGGGAAGACTGCCTACGGGGAGAAGAAAGACAACAAGTGCTCGTCAGGAACGCGGGCACACACCACTCCCGAGTCTTTCTTTTTAGACACTGTAATTCATCTAAGTATATAGGCTTCTATTTCGGGAGCTGGGAGATATATATACACGCACATGCATATTTATGTGGGGAGAGCTGTATCTATACATTTATATGTCTATATATAGAAGGTGATCCAACTTGAGCTATATGCACACACACAGATTTTGCACATATATATATATATCACATATATGTTTATTCCATAGATCATGTCCTAGTTCCCTAATAAACACTGGAAGCTTTCCTGTCTGGGCTGTTTATTTCAGGCAACCTCTCACCGTGTGCCATGACACTTAGAGTGTGCATGTGTGTGTGTGCACGTGTGCCTCTCATGCTTGTGTGTATTTCATCTATTTTCTGTAACCTTTAAAGAGGCAGCGTGGGCTTTGGTTAATAGTATTTTATCTGCAGTGTTTGCAGATAAAATACTGAGTGAACAAAGTGCCTCTCGTGTGTGATACACACTTGGTGCTCAGGAGCCGGTGGCTGGCTGCACAGTGGACATTTGTCTTCAGTCCTGCAGGCCTATCTAGACCTAGGCTGTCGTCTGCCTGTTCCTCCATCACCTGCTTCCCTTCTCCCTCCAATGCTTATGGAAAAAGCCCTTCAGATGGTTTGATTTGTCCAGGGAAAGAGGCTGTGGAGCTTCTGGGACAGGCCCTGCGTGGGATGGTAGGGGCTTTGGCCCAGTTCCAGCAGACCCAGTCCAGGCCCCACGTGTCCCAGGGCTGCTGCTGCTGACATGGGGCACAGGCACGGTTGCAGGGAGTGGAGGCTTTGGTGGTGGTGGTGAGCGTTTGGCCTTCGAGGGTCTTTAAATGTGTTTCTGTTGTCTCCACCCACCGTCGGGGAGGCCGGTGCTCACGCCCATGCCCAGGCCGGGCCGAGGCAGGGCTGTTGCAAGGTTTCCTCATTCAGGGGCAAGTTTCGCCTGCATTTGGGTGAGGAGTGGGAGGAGCTGGCTTCACAGCTCCCTGTGTATTTGCATGTGTCTTTCATTCTGACTGAATTAATTGCATTGATTCCATCTCTCAGCCAGGATGGAAATTGGTTCCATTTGTTTCTCACCTCACCCTTCTGGGTGTGTGTGGACGGAAGAGTGCCTCCCCTGCTCAGAACCTCTATTGGTGTTGCTATCTCCCATCAGCTGGCATTCAGCTTCGTTGGCAGAAGCCCTTGGTTTTAGAAGATGGGTGCGTTTGCTCCTCAGGAACCCTCTGATCTGCTTCTCATGGTCTTGCGCCTTCTCCCCTCCCTGTTGTCAGAGCTTTGGCCTGCCTGTGCACCCACAGTAGCTGGCATCTGGGGACCCTGCAGGGCAGGGATGGCTGCAAGCCCAGATCTCGGCACACAGTCATTTCTTAATAAATCATCGCTGAATGCATGATTGAAAGAATGAATATTTTGATTAACTGGACCAGACAGCTTCAATAGCTTGTTAATGGATTTATATAATCAATTTGCATGATCAGAGGAGTGGATTGATTTGTTGTGGTCTTGAACGCACAGCCTGCCTTACAGCCAGCCTCCTACCTGTGCTGCTCACCCCGAGTTTCCTGCATGGGCAGCGTGGGGGGCAGCCCGCTGGGCACAGCTCCAGCGCAGCAGGGATCGAATGAGGGGGGGATGGAAATGGGCCTCCTCTATGCACAG